TGGAGATCTGCTAAGAAGTCATTTCCAGAATCAGATTTAGATGCACTGTCAGAACTCAAATACGTGCGACCTTCAGCTGAATTCATATCCGACATGTACTGATTGATTGACTCAACGACCTCTAAGGTTGGCGCTAAAATAGCCCTATCCTTCAAATAACTTGGATCTTCAGTTGAATTTGTAAACATTGGATAAGTACTTTCTACAATTGCAGCAACTGGATCATCGGAGGGATCAAGTCTAATATCATCCGGTATATCGATAGAGGCACAACCGTCATTTGATCCTCCTAAAGTACCATCTCCGATGCTAGCAATCCAATCAGCAAAGGATGCTACCTCGTCACGCTCGTCCGAGTCAGAAATACTTTCAAGACGCATATTTTTTGTAAGTCGAAGCACAGTGCAGTCCTTCCAAATGGTAGAAGCATTAATTGTTGCATTAACAATGTCTTGGCGACTACCCTTTGGAATGACTGGAAGGATCTGTCGAAAGTCTCCACCAAACACAATAGCCCTGCCTCCGAATGGCTTGTTACTGTTAGAAGGGTCGACTGCTCCCATGATAGCCTGTAGTGATGTTTGAACAGCTTCGAAGCAATATTTGTTCATCATTGGAGCCTCGTCCCATATGATGAGAGAGCATCGTATTATTAATTCGGCAAGAGGACTTTCTTGGTTGATATCACAAGAAGAATTTTCATGAACAGTCAACGGAATGCGAAATCGAGAATGTGCAGTTCGTCCACCAGGCAACAAAAGCGATGCTATTCCACTCGACGCCACACAAATAACAATTTGACCTTTGGATCGTAAAGCAGCAGATAATGTCCTCCACAAGTAAGTTTTTCCAGTCCCACCATAACCATATACAAAGAATACGCCACCGGTACCCGATTCCACAGCAACCATAATTTTCGAGTAGACCCCTTTCTGTTCGTCAGTCATTTTTTCAAGAAGGGTTGCGTGCTCCAAAGCTAGTGCCTTTCTATCGTAATTCAGCTCATCCAAAATAAGGCGGTTTGATGTTGTATGAAGGCTATCTCTATCTGGATAAAGCATGGAAGAATATTCACGAAGACTTGAGCCACATCTTCGCAACATATTTTCAACTTCAGCAAGGGCCAGATTCTTTATAACATCATCACTAAGCCGCAAATCTATAAATTAACAAATTCAATAAATTTTGTAAGGATTAAATTGATTAATGCACAATATTAAAGAATAACAAATAATTAAAAGAAAGCACATATGAAAGTAAATAAAAAGAATGTTTAAAAGAAATCCCATATGAACTTTAAAAAAAATGAAAATAAAAGAAATAAACAAAAAAGTACCGTCGTTATTGAACAATCGCCGTTGTTTGTAGAGAATGTCATCTGATAACAATTGCCAACACCGTTCCCAAACATCATCAGGTCGTCCAAACGACCCAGAAACCAACAATGATGCAAACATACGTCTAAGAGACTCCGCAGATGCCCAATGACTCGCTTCGGTTATACCGTCTATATACTCTTTATCATCGTCCAACAATCCTATTTCAAAGCAAGCATCTTGATAAGTCAAATATTGGATGCCGTTGACTTTCATGTAGTCCTCGTGACATGTTGCACCTCTAACAACAGTTAGCAGACATCTCAAATAGTAATTATCGCCGCTACCAGGATTGACGTGGTTTAGGCGGCCTATGGTACCATCTTTTATTCGAGGCTTCCAAACTCTTTTTTTCGTATTCCAAACAAATTTCGAGGGTGCTTCTACATAAGTAAGCTCTCTTGCCTTTGGGTACTTCTTATTAGCCTCCATCCACGCTAGAAATTGACTCTCATTAACACTTGGTTTATTCAAGACATCCTCTATATCGTCATCATCTTCGAAGACAATGTTCTGTTGGTCTTTAAGGTGGAAGCTCAAACGTTGTACTGCTGGCCTCTTGTACTGCAACTCAAAACCAAGTAACCGCCATGCCGCCTCACATGAAGATAGATACCGACAATCATAGTACATGTTTATCTCGTCGAGAGGCTTTTCAATCCCCTTCCGCAGAATTGTGATAGAATGAGGCGGTGACACGATCATTTCCTTTGTTAACATACTTGAATAAGTATTTGATGGATCGAGATTGATTGCACCACTCAACGTTAAGATGAGCTCCATATTTCATCAGCAAACGACGGTTGTGTGGAACAACATAACCGTTATTGAGGACGATGCCATTCTTTTCAACATGTTTACCGTCATCTCTACGCTTGTAGCGTAAATATCCATCTTCATCTACGAAAGTGGAATCGACAAACTTTTTTGGAAATCGTTTACTACATTTGTCGTTTATCATGCACGGTGAGTTTGGTCGTGCAACACCACACGGTCCATGCATCATATGCTCCTTCACTGCTGCATAATATAAAGGATCAGACATCTGATCCGGTATTTCAGCAGATATTATTCTGTCTATGTCAGATAGGTCTGGAAACTTATCTTCCTTTGCAAGGAAGAGAAGTATATGAGCATGCGGCAAACCACGCTTTTGGAATTCAATTGTATAAACAACTGCAAAATAAAAAACGGTATATAAACAATTTAAAAGTATAAATATAGCATACGATGAAAAATTTATTTATTTTTATAGGAATTAATATGAATATTAAAAAATAAAACTGAAAAACATTTTTGTACCTGCAGTAACTTTGCCGAATATTTGTTTTTCACGGAAATCCTTTATCAATGCCTTAAGCTTTGCCCTAAACACCCTGCAAACAATATCCGGCCGATCCTCAGGATGCAATTTTCTCGGCTCAAGAAAACGAATAATCTCTGGCCAATTTGGGTTGCAGGTAAAAGTTATAAACAAATCAGGATATCCTGCTGTAACGCCCCACTTTTATTTAACGAAAATCAGAATAAATTTTTCAAAATTTATTTCAAAACACCTGGCGGCGCTACTCATTTCCAAAATAAATTCCAGTAATATCAATAATGTAACTCCCAAACGGGTTCATAAATAACATCAACTCCCTGAACTGGTTTCTCAAACTCATAAATACTATGGAGCTCACTTCCTAACAATAATTCGATACTCATTATTCGAAAAGCATAAATAACAATTTAAATAAGCAGAAGCAATATCAGATATATGGCCACCACTCGCCTCCCTCCGCCGTGCCCGCAATACTAACCTGCATCCATGAAGAGCAGGTGGGGATGAGCACAAATAGAAACAGTAGTGCTCACCACTATGCAATAAATGT